CGCTCCCCTATATATATATATATATATATATATATATATATATATATATATATATAACTATTATTTAAATTTAAAAAAAAACTTGTTCATGTTCATTCTTTTATTAAAATAAACGAATATAAACGAACTTCACATCAAACGGTTCGCTGAATGTTCGGTTAGTTTACATACCTGCTTGTTGGAGCTTTAAGAGATAGGAGGCTTCAAATACTCACTAAGCCCCTATTGACGGAGACCGAGAACTTAGAGGTGGTGATACAAACTGCAATGCACTCTATCAGATAGACAGGAAGGTCAAACATCTTTCACTTTTAAAGTCCTATAATGAAATCCCAATGCACTAAGCCATGGGCTTTATTCAAATCCTTGTAAATGTAATTATTACGTAGTTCTAATAAATAAATAATAAAAAAAAACAATGAAAACAAGCGGAAGATAATCAGTTATTTAAGAATCATATGAAGTTTTTGGTCATTTAGGTAATGTGCTAAGAGTTTAATTGCAATAAAATGGGAACAAGGTTACGGGGCTCATTAGAATATTATTTCAAGTAGCGTTTCAATAAGTTAGATTATAGTAAAACATACAGAGGGGGTGTTTGTGATTGCTTATTTGAAACGACTTATGTTTTTTTATAAACGCACTTTTTACAAGTCAGAAGGGTTTAACTTCTTCAAAAACTTCTTATTACCGGTTTGGCACCGTATAAGTTGTCTATCCCGACATTCAAAAGTGCTTATTACCCGTGTCAGACCAGAATAAGTCAATAAGTTGTTTTTATAAGCAATCTCAAACACCCCCAGAGTATTTTTCCAATAAACTCGATATCCCCTCATGACTATAACCTACTTTGTGGGATTTACTGCGTATAATTTGTTCGGTCTGGTTGTATATACGTTATCCCAATTTTTTTATAATATAAACCTTGCAGTGCTTCTTTTCAATAATTATTTCAGTTAAAAAATGAAAAAAATACACAACTTTTATGTTAATGGGTTTAACTTGGCATCAAATAATTAATACGTATTTTTGTTAATAGACCAGTATTACAAAAAACGAAAGATCAAATTCTATAACTTAAACAGTTTTAAAAAAGACCGTTTTTATATAGTGTGGATCTTTTTTAAAACATAAATAATTAATTAAAAAGGCGCAAAACACCACTTTGAAAAGCAAGTTGATGTTGATTTCCCATATGAAACTATGGTAGAGTAACAACAAAAGTGTAAGGACTAAATTTGCAGTATTTGTATCGTGAAGGGTTAAAGATGTTAAGATATTAAAGAATAAGGGGGTGCATGGAATTATTAGACGTCATAACAAAAACAAAATGGATGGTTAACTGAAAAACTGCCAGGCTGTAAGAGTCTCGAACAGCATGTAGCAGAATATCCTTGATACCTTCTTCTAAAATTTGATGGGACCAATCATCTCATCGCAAATCGGTTGACTTTTTTTTTCGGGGGAGGCTAATGGCACCCCTATGTAGGGGTGAGCAGCGGAACCGGGTACCCGCCTGCGGAACCGGAACCG